CTGATGTTAATGTGTCTGGTTTTGCTTCCCCCTTGTCTCGTTAGGCCTGATTTGCCCCAGCTGTGTTTCCCTCCTGTTACCCATTCCCTGATTGCTCCCTCTGTGTATTTAAGCCCTGTGTTTCTTGGTGTCTGGTTCGCGATCTACCGTTTACTTTGCTGTGTGTTTTGCCTGTCCAACGGTGTAAGTTTATTTTGAGTTTTTCCCAGTTATGTCATGTTTGCGTTCAGCATTAAAGCTGTTTTTGTTTAAGTTCTGTCTCCGGAGTCTGCACCTTGGGTCCTATTCCTGCCTGCACACAGCCACACCTAACACTGCTAAGATGAATAATTCTAAAAGAAAACAACTATTTTATAGAGCAAAAAAGAGCAAAAACATTTCTAAAATTAAGCAATTTCCTATCAAAATTGCTTAATAACCATTTATTTTATTTTATTTTTTATTTTATTAGTATTTTCCTTAAATGTGTTAAATATATATTTTCTCATCTAAATGTCCACTGAGCTGTGAGCCAGGGGGCGGTAATGCGCCTTAACATTGGTTGCCAACCAAGAAGAAGAAGAAGCTGTGAGCCAGGAGGGAGGGGTGTCACTACACGATCCGTACCGGAAACCCGATCGGTACCCTGCATGCACGAAAGGTGTCTACTTCCGGTTGAAGCATTTTACGATAGTTACAGGTCAGAGTATCTGTTAAGATGTTAAGAATAACAAGTATCTCTTAAAATGTTTCCGATAATGAAACATTTAATCTAAAGTAGACAAAAACAAAAAAATAAAAAGATAGTGACAGATCGGGACTCCCGATCCTTACAGCGCATGTGCAAAGTCGGACCGTACAAATCGGGTCTACCCGATCCGTACCGCGCATGTGCAGGGGTTTTCTTCTTCTTTTGTTCGTTTAATGGCAGTGTACTCCCCAGTGTACGAGGATACCGCCACCTGCTGACCGAGCGAATGAACCCTATTGTAAACTGAATTAGCGTCATTACAAACGTGTGTTAAATTTGATTTAGTGATAGTAGAGTGTGTTTATGCTTGTCTGTGTGGAGAGGATTGTTGGAAAAGTGATGATAATGTCCGCTATCACTGTCAATTGCCAGTAAACACTTCATCTGGCTGCTGAATCTTCACATGACATATTATAAAGTCTGCATTATTAACTCAGTCATTAGGCACCATTCTTCTTATTTTACGGCGCTGTTGTTCAATCGGGGAACGCTCTCTGTTCAGGAGAAAAGCAAAAATTTGTTTGTATATGGATTATCCATTGTTTAAATGTCCCGGTAGTCGAAAAGGAGGCAGAGCTGCTGAGAAATGCTAGGAGCTAACTGGGCGCTAACCGTGTCATTCAAATATATTGAATGTCGCAATGTTGGCAAAAAGAGGAAGTGACGTAAGATTTGCGCATGCGGGGTACTGATCGGGTTTACAGTACGGATCGGGTAGTGACAAGGGGGTGAGTGAGTCCTGAGTGATTCGCTTACGATTCAGCACAGGAGGGAGGGGGTTAGTGAGTGACTGAGTGATTCGTTCACTCTATGATTCAGCACAGGAGGGAGGGGGTGAGTAGCTCAAATGTGCTGTTAGCATGTTAGCAGAGCGATGCTACTGTGAACCGAGGAGCTATTTTCTTGATGTGAGCTTCTACTCAGGGTTTTTTCTCCCAGTTCAGAGCAGAAATTCTTTTGTTACGATATTGGATGTTGTGTTTTTCTCCACAATTTTAATTATAAGCTAGATACATTGCTGCTAACAGCAACAGGGATGAGTCAGTGAGTCAGTTGGGCTTGTGAATCATGATTCATGAGTCAGTAAAGTGATTCTCGAGTATTGAACGATTCGTTCATGATTCGCAGATCACTATTGTTTAGTTGCAGTAAGAGGTGGAGTGGAAGGCTGAGAGGACAGTGTCAGAAGAGGCTGGCTGTTGCACATTACCCTAATTCTTGCACTCTAGCACAATTTATTTAGTAGTTTGTAGTAGCTGAAAACTGCAACGTTACTGCGTATAGTGAAAAATAAAGAAACAAAGTCTTTGCATTTCTGGGACACTCCTGTGGCCTGCCGTGCTACTGACCGTATTAAAAGGCAAATTTGCAACATGCTTGTCACAGCTGCAGTGGCAGACGAATGGAGTATATGAGAGGAGGACCCAAGTGCACTGGCGTTATAACGAGTGAGCTTTATTCCAAATGTCTGAATACAAAGAGAAGCGGAGATGGCAAAGACAGAAACTAAGAAATAACCTGAACTGGGAAAGCTAACAAAACAAACCTAAAATCATGACATGCAGAATGATATGCAGGGATACACAGAATACCACACAGGGTGACACGCCGAGGTAACACAGACGGACCAGTGACGAGCAAAGGAAAAAACACACTATAGCTGTGTCTCAGTTCAGGGGCTGCATCCTTCGGAGGACCCGGCCTTCGCAATCTACGTGGGCTGGGTTCTAGCCTTCAAGTTTGCGTCACCACTGTCTCAGGCCATGTCCACACTAATTCGTTTTCATTTGAAAACGCATCTTTTTCTCTCCGTTCTGGTCTTCCGTCCGCACTGAGACTGCGTTTTTGTTCAAGGAAAACGCAGCGTTTTGAAAACTCTCCAAGCGGATAAATTTGAAAACGTTTTCACGTCGCAGTGTGGACAGCGAACCCGGAGCCCTGGCTGCAACACCAAAACATAAGAGGGGGGGAGCAAAGTGTGCCTGCTCTTCGCTGACACAGGAGCGGCAAGTCCAGCAACCTGGCTGTTTCGTCTTTGCCGAAAGCACAGCATTGTAAACGAGCAGAACTCAAAGTAAAGAATCGATCTCACCAGGTTATTATTGATCCGATGCCGACTTGGTATTAATACTATCCATATTTGGATTGATTTGCCCACCACTAGTAAAGAGTACACATCACAGAACACAGGGAAACCAAATAACAAAGCCTATGAACTAGAACTAAAAATTAAAACAGAAAGTCATAATTCACAGAATAAAACTTAACCCAAAAACACAAAACACTGGGTGAAATGATCCAGGATGCTAAATTTAAAAAAGAAAGAATGTTTAAAGGACAACAAAAATGGGAAAAACAATACAATGATTTCTACACAGCTTACATAATATATTAATTTTTTTCAGTCCATTCTCTTGACCTTTCATTGCGACAACATGAAAAATGACTTTGCTTTGTTCCTGCAAACTGATTTGTTTATCTAATGTAGGAGCCAGGACAACTTCACTTTTTCCTTATGCAAATTAAATGTTTTGTTTAGCTTGTTCCAATAACTATGGTCTTTTGTCACCTTGAATAGAGTTTCTAGTCCCTTGTTTTTGTGATTAGACACAATTGCTGTGAAAGAAAGTTAATAATTTGACAATGTACTTACAGTAAGTAACAGCACTGCAGTAACTAATTTCTTATACATAAGCTCTTATACATAAGCTTTTACTTGAATGTTTTTGATGTTTCATTTTTGTAGGAAAAAATGATAAAAATGATAAAAGCTGTAGAAAAAAAGGTTAAAAAAATGCAAGAACATCAGTTTCTCATTACATGTATAAATTTAAAAAATCCCTCTGTTGGTTTCTCATGTTATTAGTGCGTGTACTATATATAAAATAGCTTATATAACTATATATTATTCTTCCCTCAACCTGTTTGAATGTCATGCCATCATGTCCTCCTTTGATCTTCATTTGTTTTCCAAAGGAGGCTGTTTGGAAATTACGTCTGCATACACAAACAGGAGTTGTTTGTCAGCTGCAAAGTCACAGTCTCTTGTTTTTGATTAAGCAAATTAAGCATTTGTTTAAGATTTTCTATGCTGATGCCTCATTAAATCTGTCTTTTATGTCACTGACACAAGACAGATGCCAATTATCAGCGCCGGAGAAGACAAACGAGAAAGCATGGCTGCCATTGTTAATTTTTTCTAAGTGTCCTTCTTTCTCTAAGTAATTTGTCAAAATTCTGTTGGTTACGACTGTGCAGAAATTGATAGACTGCTGCAACAACACCTACTAGCTCTGTAGCCGCCATTTTTACTTCCGTTGTGTGTGACGTCTTCTTTTGCGCATGCGGGCCACTTTGAGGGCCGTGAACTGTTCACACTAGAGCACATTTGCTGTCACATTTTATTTGTAGTGTGAACAACCAGACAGAAAAGGAAAAAAGTGGACTGTGATCTGAAGTTTGAAAATCAGATTAAGGCAGTGATAAAATCTAGCTTCTTTCAGCTCCGGCAGCTGGCCAATTCTTTCACGGCAGCACTTTGTGACAGTGATCCACGCCTTTGTTAGGACTCGGCTGGATTACTGTGATGCACTCTATATCAGGGTCAGCGCATCATATATTACTTATCTACAGAGGGTGCAAAATACTGCAGCTCGTCTTTTAACTTGCACTTGAACGTTTGAGCACATTTCCCCTATTTTAGCTTCACTTCACTAGCTTCGCTTTTTAGGATTCATTTTAAAATTCTTTTATTTGCTTTTAAAGCTCTCCATGGCCTAGCCCCATCTTATTTCTCTGAGCTGCTACAGCCTTATACTCTTTATACACCTGCTCTCTCAGGTCAGCTGATCAGCTGCTCCTGAATGTACCCAGCACTGGGCGTAAACTTAGAGGAGATGGACTGGAAAACAAGTCCACAAGTGTGAACGTAGCTTAAGATAGTGTGTAGCCTGGTTTGCCATGTGAATGTAGAATTTGTAGCAAGATTTTAGTTTTTAATACTAGTCTAAGAGAAACTGCATTCAGTAATTGTAATTGTTCAGTTTGACTGAATGAAAAGTGAAACATCAAATTCAAAATTTAAATTCATTTATTGAAACTGATCATTTCATATTGAAATATAAGTGTCAGTGTCGAGTGGATCATATTTCTGCCCATACTGAACCTCCCACAAATACCTGCTGACAAATCAAAATATGCAAATATTTGGCCTATTCAAATATTTCCTGAAAGAAAACTCTGACCTTAAGCAAGGATTTTCAGATCTCGTTGGATTTCCTTTTCTTTTCAAGACTGCTTGAAACGACACATCAATGGATCAGGTCTTCTTCTGGATCCTGCTCCTGCTGAGCTTATCTACAAGTTTTTGCAAGTATGTTTGCGTGAACGAGGAAAAGACTCGGGGTGAAAGTTTGAGTTATTGTCGGCAGAACTACACAGACTTGGCCCCGGTTAGTAATAAACAGGATAATGAAAAACTGATGGAGCTCTTTCCCAGTGTCAATGACGGTGTCTGGTTTGGACTGGAAAGGAACCACTCAGACAAAGACAAATGGCTGTGGTCAGGAGGTGGAGCGTTGACCTGGATTTTCTGGAATACAGATCAACCTGACAACCGAAATAATGAAAACAGTGGTTTTATAAACAAAAACGGCAGGTGGCATGATGCGTATCCAGGTAACACAAGACCCTTTTTCTGCTACAGAGCAATAGTGGTGAAGCAGGAAAAGACTTGGGAGGAAGCTCTGGAGTACTGCAGGAAGCACCACGAGGACCTGGCCAGTGTGGCATCTGAGACCGAGATGCTGCTCATCCAGAAAGAGTTGAGCAAACATAACACAAAAGAAGTCGTCTGGATTGGCTTGCGCTTCTTATCTGAGGACTGGCTGTGGGTAGACAGGCAGATGATGGATTACGAGGCCTGGAGTCAAGGGGAAAAGCCACTGTGCCCGAGTACTAAGATGAAGTGTGGTGCCTTACAGGTGACACGAGGGACTAAGGGTGTTTGGGAGGCTCATAATTGTGAGGAGAAACTACAATTTATTTGCTACTGAGCTACTTTATTTCATAAAATACATTTAAATCACAATTTATTTGCTGTGTTTAATACATTTTGGTTATTTTTCTCATCTCTGTCTTTGCATTTTCCCTAATTGATGTGTAATTGTCTCATTTCTATTGTGTGACAAACTCAGCATTTCATTATTTTACAAACACTATCTATTATGATTTTTGTTTCATTGAGAAAAGCATGAAAAACAAAAACAAAAATAATATGAAATATTTTCCAGATTTTGTTCATAATTTCACCTTTTCTGTACTTTCTTAAACACATTTAAATATTAAAAGACAAAAATAATAAATATTCAGACTCCAGTATGTCACACCAGTAGTTCAGTAGCACTAAACTTTCTATAATTAATTTCAATAACCACTTATTTATTGTGGTCACCATAGTTTGGTTGTGTTTTACCATTCTGTGTCAATTCTCAAACAATAACAATAAAATGTTAACAGCTTTACCTTAAATTCAACTTATTTCTCCAGAGACTCCATTTTATTTGCTACTGATCTAGTTTTGATTGGGTTATCTTAAGCTTTTTGTGTGTGTATTTGTTTGTGTAAATGTATATTTACATATATGTACATGTATTTCTTTCATTTCTATCTTGTTAGAGTGGTGCAGTTTCAGCTTTGTTAAATTAATAGTAAACATGTTTAAAAAGTAAATTAAAACATTTTAATTGGATTATACTCCAAGTTTTGTTCACAATGCAGTTTCCTACACATGCTGAAGGAAGGAGTCTGTGGTGACACCGATTCCAAAGCTGGTGTTGGTAAACCCTCATTCATGTGTTCATATTTTAAACAAAAAATAGACGGCTCATCTCCCCAGTTTGCTAATCCAAGGTCACTGTCCCTGACTTCCACAGAAGCTTGTCAACCAAGACACTTCACAATATCCAGGGCCTTTAAGGGACATATCTCATCCACACCTGACTCCCACAAGACAACCAAGTTTGATTGGACTCATCCTTCAGCCTGACAGCTGCGTCACTTCTGGTGTCTACAATTTAGTTTGAGGGTTGCCACCACGACAAGCACCAACAATATATACGTATAACCAGTAACAGAGATTAGATCAGGGTCTCTGAGGATTCAGGGGACCACTGATTAAATGTTTGGGCATTCTAGTCTGGCATCTTCCTTCATCACCTGATCCACCACACCACCAGCCTCTCTTGACCCAAGTGTCCATGACGTGGCCTCAGGTCTCATAATACAATTACAAAATCAATCACACACCCATATGTCGGCTTGCTTCACTAGGACCGTGGATTCCCCAGTTGGGGAGCTTTTCAGCACCTCACCAGAGACTCCAAAAAAGGTGCATAATCTGTGATGGCACTCAGTTCGTAAGGTGCAGGAAAAACATTATCTCGCCCACTATGGACAAACTCTATGTGCAGGGGGCTAAAAATAAACTCACTCCTGTGAACCCCCTCACCTGACAGTCCTGTGTCCCTAAATCCAGTTTAAACAGGTACAGATTGAATTGCCTTTGACTACCGCCAAATTCAGAAAGTACCAGACCGCTATGGTGACTGGTGCGTCCACAGGAGAACAGACCCATACGGTTTGTTAAGGCCCCATGCATTTAAGATACATTCCCACTAAGCAATATCAAATGAGGCTCCAAGCTTGGCCTTCATGAATGTCAAATCAGCCCAGATGATCCCTCCAGGTAATTTTTCCATGCCAGGGTCTCTCTAATCAAACTGGTTCTGGGTGAGGGTCAGACTAAGAAGTCAGTGTCTGAACCCATGTATTAAAAAAGCGCAGTAAAAAAAACAAACACCCACATGCCTTTAACGTAATGTATCTGTATTGCTTTAATGTTTTTATTTCATTTTTTTCCTCAGGAACAGGTAAGCCATGACAGCATAATGTAAATGATAAGCGTAAACAAAATCTGAGACCCTTTTGCACATCCATAGTAGAACATTCATACAACATACAAGTCTCATCTGTACAAGGGGTCACAGAATCTTTTTTTTTTTTTATTTCAATGAAACAACAAGGTAACTCTTGACTCAAAGCCAACAGGTACAATATAGTTTAGATTTTTTTAAATTGTATTTCAACATTTAGTTCTTTAGTTTTTCTTTTCAAATGACATTGATTTAAGTGCACTGTACCTCTTTGCTTTCAATAAAGCGCCACCGTACATTCCTAAAATCATTAACGCTGTAAAAACTGCAAAGCTGTGACAATGAAACATGGAAATTTGTAAGGAAATGAAAGAATAAATAAGAATAAATAAATCAATGACTCTCAAAAGGGGGGGGACACCTTTGGAGGTCTGACAAGGCTGCAAGTGCAGAGCTTTAGCATCACGATGAGACATGTCTGACTTTATCTACCTCCAGCACTGACGTCTATTTGAAATTTAATGTTTTGGTAATTGAACAGAACTTCATTGTTCTTCTTTGAGATGGGCACAGTGGGACTTTTCAATCTTAAGCAAATACATTTTGGAGACAACAAACGCCTGCCCACCCCCAAAATACTTTTGTCATTGCAAGACCTCTCAATGTCTTGCCGTCTTGCAATTATTTAATATCGAACATCCCATAATAACCTGGCTACTCAAGTTGAGCTAGACTGAAAAATTAATGAAACACAAAACAAATGGAAACTGAGAAGCAGCATGCAGCAAGTTAGCATAGACGTATGAATCTTTGGCAAAATTATAACTGTAACTGTCACGGATGCATAAAAGCTGTTTTCATATTGCATTCGAGGTTGGCCTCCTCCTTTTTTTCTCACACATTTAAATGTAACAGCTTCGATATGTTTGCCTTCCAAATGTAAGGAAGCACACTCAGATATTTCTGTCTACACATTTCAGACCTGTCTCCTTTGCGCCCCACCTCGTTTGGGAAGAAGAAGAAAAAAAAAAACAGGCAGAAAAAAAGAGTAATACATGACAAGGTGAAAACAAACATATACATGTACAAAGTAATGTACACCATATATTCAAACGCATTTCAAAATCGCCAGACTTTGAAATCATTAGCCAAAATAAGTATATATCTTTTTTTTTCTCACCCTATTAGGTAATCTTCTTTATCTAGACTGTACAATATATGTATATATGAGTAATCATGAGGGACCAAAGCAACAAAAATAAATACTTTTTTTCGCTATGTCACCTTTCAAAGTAGTATCTATGTACATTTATATCAATATCAATTTTTTTTTCCTTAGCTTATTGTGAATGGTTGAGCGTGTGTTCAACAAGCAGGCATTGCGCACAGTGTGGAAACTTCTCATGTGTTTTTTTTTTCTTTGTTTTTAACACTAAATGGTATCCAGATGTAAATTTTGACAACACCGTGGAACATAAAACTGTCCTTGATACAGCGAAAGGTAACCCTGGCCCAAATGGACTGAAAACTAAATGAAAACAAAGGTAAAAACATAGCATCTCACCATCATGTGACTACTTCAACAGTGGGTTGTTCTACTTCCTTTTTTTGTTTGTTTCGTAGGACTCTGAGAAGAGTACAAAAAAAGTTTCTATTTCATGCAGTCTTTGACAAGTCATACGACGTCAGTGTACTCGTCTAAAGGTTTTTAGTTTTAAGCACATGGCATAGAATGATTTCAGTGATGTTGGATGTCACTATGGGGGGGGGGGTGCATTTTGGGACAACAACATGCATAAAGAACAGTGCATAGGTCCAGGTCATTGGGCCAGTCCCTGGTGATTTCCAGTGTGTTTCAGTGGCAGCGTCTATCAACAGGTCCACTACTGCAAGCAGTTGGTGATGACAAAGTCTGTGTGACTCTGGGAGGAAAGAGTCTTGGCCTGAATCAGCAGCTCCACCTTCTAGATAAAACAATCCCTCTGTCTGGCATGCAATTGCGAGCTTGCCGATATCAGGTGGATAATCCAAGAAGCAAGGTTTTTTTGTGTTTTTAGAGAGAGAAATCAGGCTCGGACTGGATGCTGAGGTGATGCAAAAGTGGCTGCACTGACACAAAGTTCGGTGACCTTAGCGTGGCATTGTTTTATTGTCCTTTTTTTCCCTCCCCTTTTCTTTTTTTTGTTAAGTCTGGTCTGTTATGTGCAGTTTAGATCAGTCGTTTCACTGCAGAGCCCTTTCCGACACATAACAGACCTGGAACTGGCCACTCTAAGGATTTCACAATGACTTTTGTGGAAGGTAGAAGAGTCAAGCTTAAAGATCAAGCTAACATGCATAATGTCTTCAGACAGTTTTGCTAAAAGCCATCAAGGCCAACATTTTTTTTTTACTCCTGAAGATGAGTTCAAGAAAACAGATTTCTTTTTTTTCAATGTTTCATCTTTTAAAAGGAGGAAATAATAATGGCTTAACAGCTACATCATTCTCGCACTTGTATTGCAGCTACCTTTGGTAAATCAATCGACAAGAACAACAGAAAACCCTGAAACATCCACTTCCTTTTATGTTCCCTGACTAGACTTTGCATTTTTCTTTTAGTCTTTAGCTAAGTTCTCCAAGCACAGGTTACCCTGTCGATAAATCTTCTCCCTCCAATGGCTTCCATGTTTGTCACATGCATAGCTCCGCATCACACATCCTCTAGCTCCAGTTTCGATCCACACCAAAGCCTTCAAACAGAGACTACTTCAATTAGATCAAAACAAACCAGCAAGGCAGAGAGGAAAAAACAGAGAAGGAAAACAAAAACCCAACATAAAACAGAAGGAAAGGACTCCATCCAGCCCTGGCAAAGAGGACACCAACAATGAGGGAAGATTGCAAAACAGCCACTGCCATTTGAACGTTAAGGGTTTCATCGCTTCATCATTTTAGAGACGAAGCCGACGATGGCGGAGGCGGGCTGATCTGGGTCCAGCTCAGCAAACAGGTGGCTGACATTGTCTGTTGTGCTTCCTTGTTTCCTTGCCACAAATCCAAAAAGCCTGAAAGCAAGAAAAACATATATTATACTTAAACAAAGGCAAATGACTCTGTTATAACAAGTCATTAGTCAGCAAGCAGTTTGACAGTCTACTTGTTACAAAAGTACTGTGCCAAAGTTAAACACAAACAAACAAACATGAATGCCTTTCATAACAAAAATATTCCAGTGTGCTTCAGTGACAGTATCTATCAACAGGTCCAAATATAATTAAGGTGACCTTGAACAACTTCAAATTCATGCTGGGGCAAGCATCAAAAAAACATTTTGCTTTTGAAACTTTGGCAGTTGATATCCTCAGTTGCTAAATGCTTGCTAGGTGTGTTAAAAGAAGAGCCGAGGCTTTTCTGAGACATTTTGATTGCATTAAACCAATGATGTCATCTATTTTTCACTAAACAATCAAATTTCTCAGTTTCACCCTTGGATATGTTGAGTTTGTGTTAAAAATTTCTGTTAAATTTAAAGTTTGATGTGTCTCAACCTTTTTGCCAGATAAGGTTAAATACTGTAGCTATTGGACATCTGGAAAAGGAAACCAAACAATATTTTTTTAAGTGGTTAGTGAAATGAATTCAGTTGTTTATGACGTTCAGTACACAGATAACTCTTTATACACATTTATCTTTAAAGCATGCAAACTTACCTCACTGAGCCGCCTCCTTCTTTGCCCCATCTAGAGAAAAAAAAAAAAAAATCAAATACAAAATACAATAAAAAAGATAATTTTGAATTAAGTAATTACACTAATCATATATATATATATATATATATAGTATATATATATATATATATATATATATATATATATATATATTATATATATATATATAATATATATATATTCAGTACATTAAAGGAAAGTCTTACTTTCTGTCCTGGGGATCAATGTCACAGTAGGTTACCGTGTTTATTGGATAGTGTCTTCTAAAGAAAAGCCTGCAGTAAAAATGAATGAATGAATATAAAATAACATTACATTAAAAGACCATGCTTGGATGTGAAACATTGCACAGGGTATCTCTTGGTGTTTGCTGAAACATGCTGTCATGTGATTACTGGTTTACTGGCTACCACTAGAGGGTGCAAAATTACTTTTGCAGTAAACGTTTCTTTTTGTTAGGGACTATCATACTAATATATATAACAGATATAACAGACCATTATTAAGACCATTGTTAATATTAGAGTTACTCCTGAACGTGCTTACTCACTTTCTCTGACTGTCGGTGAGTGTGATGCCCTGTGTGGACACTTTAAAGTGGACGGTGGTGGCAGCGGGCAGAGGGTTGGTTGACAGCGTCTGACTAATTGCCTTGGCAATTGCCTGAGGCCCAGTGAGCGATTCCATGTCCACAGAGTTGATGTAGAGAACATTGCACGCTAGAGGTAAACAATGGAAAAACACTGCTACATAAGAGAAGATCCTACAAAAAAAACAAAAAACAGTGTGCATGCAGTTTGTCTTAAAGTGATGGAAGCTGTAGTGAGGATAATTAAAAATGCATACAGTGAATAATGTTATGACACAAGTTATCATGCAATGCATATTTTTACATAACATGCATGAATTTCAAGTTTTTTCCGAGTTTTATTTAGTTGTAAAATTTGTTAACAGTGACTGAAACCCTCTGGGAAAGAGCACACTCATATTCAGTAAAATTCCATGATGAAGCAGAGCAGTGCAAACCAGTATTTACCATGGGCTTCCTCAGGAACCTTCTGGACTGTAAAGTAAGGATGACAAGGTTGTGTAAGCAAGTGATCTGATGTTTCTAAAAAAAAAAAAAAAAAAGGTTTTTTCTTTTTCTTGAAATGCACAAATTGTCCATTCAGGGACCAGAACAGGCCTGATTCCATTAGTCTGTGCCACAACTGGTGACTGGCCAAACAGTTTCACATATATCTGATTATAAGCTGGTGTTTGTCATGCATGCGCAACATATCTGCAAAAGAACAGCACACGCTGACATCCAAATGCTGGATGTTAAACTCCTCATTGTGAGTAAAGTGACAAATTTTAAAGTAAGCCACATGGGAACCGGCACTAAAACATTTGTAGCAACAAATCTAATCCCACATAAAATCACCATCATCCAGTTGAATATGGATATTTTAGGGAAGCAAACAAAAGCAAAGTGGCTAAAACTAAAGCTATCCAGAGTCCGGCGCAAGCCATATGCTAGCAGCCTCAGTATGAACCTCAGTATGCCCGCGGAATAAAAGCAGTTATGAAAATTTTTTTATGACAGATATGAAAAGGAAAAGGTGTTGATTTCATGTTGGCTGTTGAATCTATAAACATATCGGAAAATATAACTGTTTTGTTGTATGAATCTCTTGCAACTGGTTTTATTTGGTAAGCTGAAATATGTCAGGTAAAACTAGATATACAGGAAGTCATTTTAATTATCTGCATCTCTTTCCAGTAGGTTATTTTCAGTTACTTCTGTGAGACAATACCCGGTAACTTACTGTAGTTTTGGGGGGAAATTTTGGAAGTTTAAAAATTTCTATTATTGCTATATAATTTAGAATATTGCATTGAAGAAAATGTGATTTTGTTGTCATTTTTAGTTTTAAGAAAGAAACCAGAATTCAAAAAAATTGGTATTGGCACATCACACTTAAAAAAAAGAACTAAAAAATTGGAAATTGGAACAGGCCAAGAAAATTGCAATTGGTGCATCTCTACTTTTCACAAAGAGTTAGTTTTTGTAGAATTATAATTTATCCCTTTTTTCTTCTGGTAGACTTCAGTGACACTTACCCGCTCCCTGCTTAAGAAGTTCAACAACTGGATCAGTTGGTGTGGTGAGTTCTAGTGCCTCTTCATTTGGGTCTGGAGAGACCGAATAGAGTAGATGTTATATTTTTGCATCTGAATACAATTACTTGCCGCAAATAAATTGTAAAGTGTAAAATAAAATTGACATTTTTATCAAAAACATGGAAGTACTTATCAATAATTTGGTTTGTACTAAAAGTCTGAGTGGATTCCCGTTCCATAAAATGTTAAAGAAACTAAGAAAGTAGAATTAAAAAAACAAGAGTTACCTTTGGTGGGGATCATCAGTTTGCATGGCAAAGCCAGTGGGGTCATTGAGTGTTGGTACACCAAAGCAGAAAGACAGCCTACAAACAGAAAGCAATGGTCTCTCTGTCAGACTGGATCAGTCTGATATTAAATTAAATTTCAACCTGTGATTTTAATGTTGCAAACAGAAAAAAAACACCAGCAGAAACTCACCAAAATAGGGTTCATTGGGACAGCCCTTCAGGCGGACACCTTTGGGGTTCGTCTCAATCAGGAAGTGCCGCACTAGCTCGTTAGTCATGTCACCAACTAAAAGAAAGACATACTCAGCTGATCCAGCTGTTGGAGAAGGCAGATCTTTCACAAGCAAGCCAAGAGCAGAGTGCGGGAAGCCTTTACCTTTTTTGTTCTGCTGGACAGTTGGTGGTGGGCAGGCCACCTTCATGGCCAGACCATAGGCCCCTCTGAAAGAGTGGCTGTCCCTTATGACGAAAGCCCCAGGCTCCCTGTCCTTCAGCAAACTGATGGCTAAAAGAAGAAGATGAGGAGAATAAAAAGAAAAGCAATGATGAGAGGATGAGCAGCTGAAGTTGGTTGAAGTTCCTGACTCTCACCTTGCTCTCTGGAGATATCTGGCTTGTACCAGTACTTGGAGGTGTCCTGGACAAACTTGACATTCATCTTGATGTCAGGATAACCGTCTGTTTGAATGAAATTAGGTGAAGAAAATCAGTGATATTTAGCCCATGAGGTTCATGAAAGGTATTAAAAAAAAAAAGTTCCCTTTTACCGTATATAGACTTGGAGACGTCTGGGAGAGTGTGTGTCCCAGACAGGTTAGGCGTGCTGCTAACACTGATCGGTATTGGCATCAGGTTCTTGTTCTCCATTCTGTCTGCATCTCCACTGGACATGTGTCGCTTTTCTGGCAGCTGTGGGGAGACTGGGAAAGCAGGCGTGGCAGGCTGATGGATGCCCCCTTGGCGAGAGGCAGCGCCCAGCTCATCAGGCGTACTGTGTCCACTCGTTGCCGTGCGGCGCCCCATCAGAGGGCTAGGTGGCACACCGGCAGCTGCTGTTTTAGGGTTTCGGCCAATCAGAGGACTTGAAGGAACACCAGATGGAGGTGGGTGCCTGCCCAGCAAGGGGCTGGCTTGACCCAGGCGTCTCTGCAGTGCAGGGCTCGGAGGAGTGTTGGTGGCCACTGTGCGGTGGAGGGTGTTAGGGCTGCCGGGGACTGTGTGGACGCCCATAATGTTGACCTGAGATCCGTCTGGGGAAGCAGGTCTGTGGGGGTGAATAGAGGCGGGGCTGTGTGGGACGGCATCTGAAGAACTAGTTCTTCTTCTACAATCATAAAAGTGAGAAAAGGTATATTATTGTATTTTTGTACCTGATCCTTACACCGAACATTAAATGTGATAAGGATGCTCAAGCTGACTTGATGTTGACATTTCAGCACTTATTCCAGTTCGTAAAATACATCTTGTGGATGATATCGGCAGCTCATATCTAAGTAACCTCAATGAAAATTACCTCACTGTATAATGTTATTATTATTATTTTAAAAGCATTATTAGGTCTTTTGGTTGGTTCGTCGCCCTCTGAAAGGATCCTAAACATGAACATATTGTATCAGTTTTGGAGGTGGGGTTTGGGTTTTTGTTAAATAGTGGCATTGAATATGCATTCATTTTTGTCTGTATCTGTGTGGATAGTTATTTATTATAATCTGATTGCCATTTTGAATTGAATCTGCAGTTTTGACTCTATTTAGCTGTTTATGTGGATTAAATATAGATAGAAAACAGAGTGACTTCATCTGTGCTCAGTCTTTGATACAAAATTAATAAGGCTATTGAACTTTTGTTCAACTGCTCGCCAATGCAATGATGATGCTAATCTGTAAGTTCAACGAGAAAGATCTGTAATCACTTATATGCTTGCTTTCCTGGATGTTTGGCTGCTAATCTATTCTCAGCATCACTTTCACTTCTCTACAGCATCATACTGAATGATGACACCATTGCTTTAGTCCAGTGATTCCCAAAGTGTGAGCTGGAGCCCCCTAGTGAGCTGTGATGGTACTGCAGGTGGGTGCAGTAATAACAGAAATTCAGTTTGAGGTACTGGTTTTATTTCTATCACTGCTGGGATAATGCTGCGATACATCATATACAGGCCACATGAAATGTGACTAGTGATTGTTCTCTAATGAAAGACATTGTACACAGGAAGTGATGTGGAATTTCTCAGTGTAAATCCTTACAAGCAAAGTCTTGAATATTTAGGCTCTGTCATGTCTTAAATACTTTTCGTTATGTTATTATGCTAACACAGCACTCAGACTGCTGGTTTACTTGTGGTTTTTAGAAGCAGATGTTAGGACTCCCCATGATGCACTAAGCACTTCTTTTTCACTCACCTCTCTTCAAACACAGTGTGTTTATATGCATCTACAGCATGTTATTAAATGTTTTCTTCTCTTTTCTATCTTTTCTGTTTTGTCCTCATGTCTCTATGCTCTCATTTCTTTCCTCTGTGTCCTCACACACTCTATAACTTGTCTGGCCCCTCCCTGAGCGTGGTTCTGTCAAAGCTCTCTTCCTTTTAAAAGGGAGTTCTTCCTCCCCACTGTCGCCAAGTGCTTGCTCAGTTAACCTGAATATCTAATTTGGGTCTCCAAGCTATCTATATGAATGAAATGAAGTACTTTCACAGCAGTATGTCCCCATATGTGTCAATGTATTAGAACCGGAAACTTTTTTTTTAATTTAAAATTTGGGCTTTTCACGCTCCAGTTGCGAAATCACTTTATTTTAACCTCAATCACAAGGGTTCTTCAGAAACTTTCAGCATCATACTCCGTAAATGACATCCTGGATATGAGTATAAAAAAAAGAAAAGTAACATTTGCTTAATATGTATAAAAAACATGTACAGGCTAAAATTTTTATCCAAGAAAAATAAGTGACAGACGACTCACCCATCAGTGCTGTGGATGGGACTGCTGGAGGAGAGAGGAGCATTCAAAGGTTGTACCCTGGAGTCGCCAAAACCTCGATTATCTGCGTGTTAAAACAGACATACACATACATGTGTACGGTCAGATCGGTTTTTGGTGCATCACGCAACAGTTGGATGCCCTGAACGAAACAAGACAAATCAGTTAACAGGCATCAGAAGCTTGGAAAAGGCGAAACTGACAGAAACAGGAAATTAATCAAACATCAATCATCATAAAACAAAGACAAATCCATGTATAGTCGAGCACAGAAATATCAAATATGGGTTTGGTGGTGCCACAAAAAGTAAGCTTACCTTGTTCTCCAGTATTAGAATGAAAGTCTGACCACAAGAAGAAAAAAGAAGCAGACACCAACAGAAGAGAGAGGGTGTGTGGAAAAGGAGGAGAGAAGAGAGATGCACTTGAGCTCAGAGCAAGAACTGTTAGCGTCGAAGCATTTGCAGGAACAATTCTACACACTAGAGGGCAGCAAAGTATTAAAGCAACCTTCTACTCAGTCAGCTACAGTATGACATAGTGCAGGGATTCTGTGCACTGTACGCTTCTGTATAATTATCACTCGATGGCTAAAGTGCTTTTAGTCAAATCTAATTATGATTTGGGAGATTCAAATTCTTTGGATGCAAATACTGAAAACCTGAATGTTGTACCATGAACTGAATATCATTTTGTACACATCATCTGTAGTATATATACTGTCAGTTCTAAATGAAGACAAATATATTTGATGCCGGTAAACTGACCTGCTGCACCCTGCTGATGAGGCTTCAATCCCAGCGGTGACACAGGAGTCTTGCTCAAATCTGGAGGAGAGCGAGCTACGAGAAAGAAAGAGATTCAAAAGATTCTTAAATATTTTGTATTTGCAAAACTTTCTCATTAGTGATGACATATGAGAATACGTAATAATGTACCCTGACTAATACAAGGAATGAAAGCACAGAGGTTTTCCCTTTTGCAAAAGTATGATGCAACATGGAAATTCATCAGATGGTGGATTTACATGTATGAATATGTAACACTTGAAGGCTCATAGGTGTCAAACTGTGGCCCGCGGGCCAATTTTGGCCCGCAGCCTAATTACATGGTAATTGCATGGTAAAGGGTAAAGGTGGGCAAATATGAATGTTTGTGCAAAAGAACACCTTCTTATTAGAACACTTGTGAGTTCAGGACTAATGACAGGAGAGAGGACTCTGGGGTTCCCAAATATCAGTATCACACAGACTGTCTGAACACGGAGGTCAGTGCTATAACTGAATTGAGTACATATATTTTGGGGGCAGTGGTTGGTGAGATGACTTGTAAGTTTGATTGTTTTGACTATAAAAACACACCTGGTTTGATGGAGGCAGTGAAAAGGACAGATCTCTTTTTCAGTGTTGTTGAAAGGATTATAATTTAATGTTAATAGCTTAAATATATCCTATGTTATCCCAAACCTGGAGAGTTTTTCAAAGATTATAAAATACACCTAAGTCCACATTACTTTATATTTAATTGCACCAACATGGCCAAAGAATAAAATGACAAAAAGCAAAAGGATGGAAAGATAGAAAGATAAAAAGCAGAAGTAATAAAGATTGTTTCTTTCAGCCCTCACTGAGTTTCTTCTCTTGACCTCTACATTTGCATTTGAAAGAAATCACTAACAACATGGAAAATCCTTCTTTTGATTCGTTTGTTGGCTGTGAAGTCACACAACCCCTATTAGTTGCTCTTTCCCAATAGCCTCAGGCTTCATGTCTGTGTCTTTCTTTGATATATTTGAAGTGCATTGATGACAGAAATTTAAAGAAATCAAATAGCTGTTGAATTTAATTAAAAATATGGAGACCAAAATTACATTCCTAGAAGACCACCCATATGGAAAGGATATATATACATCTTATAAAGCTTGTATCTGTCTTGTATGAAACTTGTATGAAAAGCATACAAGAGTGAAAACACATATAAGATCCCTTGAAAAATTATATAATGAAACTTGTATGTTTTGGATACTTACTAAAAAAATATATGAAAGTAATGAGAAAGTGGCCACTTTCATGAGTAAATCATATGTTTTTACTATTTCTTTTCTGTATGAGCAATGTTGGACGAGGAGTGCACAGAACAGACATAATAATGAGTGTTTAAGAAAGACTTTTATAGTCTGTTTCTTTCCTTGAAACTTTGTTCTCTCTTCTCCCTCGACAATACTGATGGGTTGAGCGAATGACAGAGCCCGCCTATGCAAATCATTTCTGTCAAATATCTCATAGCTTTGACACTTTGGGTATTCACAGCTCGCAACACTCTTTGAAACAAAACAATGATGGATCAGGTCTTCGTCTGGACCCTGCTCCTCCTGAGCTTTTCTGGAACTTCTAGCAAGTACAGTATGTTTACATTGAGGAGAAAATGCCTTGGGATAAAGCTTTAAGTTACTGTCAGCAGAAATACACAGACTTGGCCCCGATCAGTAATGAACAGGATAACCTCAAGCTTCAGGAGCTCTCTCACAATCTCAATGACTACATCTGGTTTGGACTGCTGAGGAATCTCTCAGACAAAAACAAGTGGCTGTGGTCAGGAGGTGGACAGGTGACTGAGCTTTGCTGGATACAGGATCAACCTGAAAAACGACCCAATGAAGACTATGGACTTTTTGATAACAAAAAATGGCGTGATGCACATGCAGACCATATCAACCCTGTCTTCTGCTACAGCACAGTAGTGGTGGAAGAGGAAAAGACTTGGGAGGAAGCTCTGGAGTACTGCAGGGAGCACCATGATGACCTGGCCAGTGTGGCATCTGAGACCGAGATGCTGCTCATTCAGAAAGAGCTGAATAAATATCACACCACTAAACATGTCTGGATTGGTTTGCGCTTCTTATCTAAGGACTGGATCTGGGTGGATGGGCAGGAGATGGACTACGAAGCCTGGGATGAAGGGGGAAAACCATTGTGTCCGCAGGCTAAGATGAAGTGTGCAGCCTTACAGAAGACAGGAGGGCGTCTGAGTAGTTGGAGGGCTCATGACTGTGAGAAGAGACTGAGTTTTATTTGCTACTGAGCTGTTTCCATTGCAAAATCATTTAAAGCCTTTATTTACTGTAGTTTGGTTGTTTATCTTTTTTTTCTTCTATTTTATTTGGAGTTTGTTCTTTGCTGTGTATTTGTTTCATTTATATATAATGAAAACAAAATTACTTAATTTAAACTTCAGCCTCTGTTCACAATTCAGTGTTTTTCAGCAGCCTTTCTTGTGCATTTTTTAATAAAGAAACAAATGTAATTTAGATTCAGACCAACAATTTCTATCTAATGTCTTAGACAGAGTGAGCCTATGTGTGTTGTAGCTATGACTAGGGGATGGAGAATATGGAATATGGAATAAATTCTCACCTCCACCACCTCCAAAGGTGGAACTGTTGGCCAACCTGTCTGTTTCATTGTCCTGAAACGTCTCTCGGTAGCTGTGCATTGGACCCTGAAAGAGATGATCAAGGCACACAGATATGGAGTTATGTCAGGAAGTATAAAAGAAAAGTATAATTAGTCTACAGAAAAATCAACGCAGCTTGACTTGATTAGAGTCAAGACACAATATCATGACAGAGTAATTAATAAGCTAAAAATAATTTAAAAAAAAGAGAAAAATCAAACTAGAATGGATCAACCAAAAAGACATGAAAGCTAAAACCTGCCTCTCTTTAATGGTTTTTGCCCAGAACTTTAGATTGACTAGCAGACATGCCTGAGGGGTTGTACAAGTTCCCACACCGTGAGCATATGGGACACATAAAACAGAGCAAGACCACAAAGATATTTAAAAACAAGTAAAAGAAATTAAAATATGGAAAGTGCAGGAACATCAGTGTACTGTGTTATTCCTCCTCTGCAGCGTTCGCAGTCAGCTGTGGGTACTTTACAAACGTTTTGCGTTGATGAGATAGCAGAACACCACATCAGTCAGCTCTGCTTGATATAAAAGCATGCGTAAGTTTCTCTGTCTCACTCAGAGCAAGCAGAGTTTGAAGTTCAAGCACATTTTTCCGTGGATAAGAGAAACAGAACAGAAAGTTAAAATCCAAATCAGCAGTCACTGCTAGTTTGTTGCTTGGTTGGGGTAGGTCTGAAGTCAGAACTTTTATGAACAATAAACAGTCGAGAGCTCGATGTTTTACTGTAGCTCACCTCATGCTGAAGGGGAAATTGTTTAGGACTCTCTTCCATAATACCAGGATAGGCCCAAAGCTGGGCATGAAGTATGACTGTTTGCTTCCTCCTGCACCACCCCAATTAAAAACATGTCGCTATATGTCGCTATAGCCCCTTCGTGCATAAAATGAAACTACTTCAGTGCAAATATGAACTTATCGGCTAATAATAGCTACTTGAGGAACTATCAGAAGCAACATTTCTAATGGCACAATAGAATTTAAAAAGCAAATAGGAGAGAGAGCAGAGACATCTGTCAACTACTGTATGTAACATGTGTTGACATTGGATAAGTTGTCCACCAGAGGGCACTCTGCAACTTCCCTTTGGGCAGTGCACAGCCTGCTGACCAGTGCAGAGTCAGGCAGAGGGTAAATGAATAACCCTCCACATAACCACATAACAAATATCAAGTAAAGGGTTTATTTTCCTTGTCTAAAAGAATATGCATTTACATATTAGAGTTTCAGATTTTTAAATCAGCTAATGCTGGTATTGGTCTTGAAAATCCTACAATAGTCAGCCTCTAGGATTTATCATGATTTTCAGTGGGGACAAAATTAGTGACAAAATCATGTGCTCGTGGCTTAACCATAAAATCAAGAGCTGTACCTCTCTGGGTCTTCCTCCTGGGTTGAGAGCAAGATTGTTGGAAAAGTCTGGTGAATCCACTGCTGACGTACTATCATGGCCGCTCTGGTACTGTCCCTCACTCGTGGTCCGACGCCTGCCCGTCTCCTGTGTCACTTCTGGGGTCATCCCTCTGGAACGAACTCCTGTATCCCCCAAAATATTTGAGTATGAGGAATCATCAATTCATTATGTCTTTTTTTAACATCTTTTTATGTTGCTTGTGTAGTCCTGGGATATTTGTTCAAAGATGTATCAGCTAAAGAGAAAGCATCCTATCAATATAAAAGGGCAGCATCATTCCCTCTTTAAGAGAGGCAGAGCCAGTGAGAAAGATTCTCAATGTTTAAAAACGTGGCTGCAAGTAATAAGAAAGCAGTGGGAAAGGACAAATAATTGGGAAAATGATGAGGAAGCAGAGAAAGTTTCTAGAAATGCAAGACAAATAAAATGAAACAAAGACAGAATTTAAAGGTGGGGTAAAGTGGACAAACCAGAGAAGGAATAGGAGCGATGGCGGTCAGATTGTTGTGGTGTCATGCTTTCACTGATGCCCCGAATACGAGCGTTGTACTCTGTTTCCGGGGAGGGATGTCAAGTGGTGGAAGGGAGGCAGCAGGTGAAGGTAGAGGAGGAGGAGGAGAGTGAGTGCAGAGGAAGAAGCAGTGGAGGGTAGGGTTTCCATACAGTGAAGAGATGGGTTGAATGGAAAAGGAAAAGAAAAGTCAGAGCAGAAATGGATAAATAAAAGTATTCTCCAAATGAGATGACACGCAAGCCCCTAGCTAAAAAAGGAACTTACATTTTTGTTCCACTGGGAGGCACTTTAGAGCTTTCAAATCATTTCAAAGAAATTCGTGCATGCCGACATTGCATAGAAGCTGGGATCTCTGAATGCCTGGCTATTCTTACTCTCACCTCATTTCCACTCTCAGCAGCTCTGCACAGCTCTCTGAGTCAGAGAAGCTAACTTTATGAGTAAGGCTTATTCCTCTAATACAACACCCTGTAATGGATCGGTTATAGAAACTGCACCGCTTGCATTCTACTTGGTTCTTAAGATTACAGAGACTTCAAGATAATGCGTAAATTGTGTTAGCCATTTTGGATATATAAGTTTTGTTGAATATCATTTTCAGAATATCAAAAGTGTTTTAGGCTATATCATATGCTACAAATCTGCTTTACATCTTTATGCTTATTTATTTGCTCATTAGTTTCATGCAAATCATCCATAATGTTCCCTGAACCTCCAAAACAGAGCATTGCTAATGACTGTATTAACCTGCTCTTTGAGTCCCCTTTAGGGGCTACAACATGCCACCATCAGTCCAACAACACGACATATGTGTGTTTGTGCAATCTTTTCCTTGAAAACAAGAATAGCAAAAAACTATTTCACATATTCTTTTTTAAACCTTAAAAAACTTGGAAACTTTGAAGCTAATCCATAATAGACATAATAGATAATCAACTGTAAATGAATTAATTTATGCACAAAAAAACAAAGAGCAGCATAATATCCTGCAACAGTTACAAGTCCAGTACCACTCACTCTGTCCCTTCCTTATTCATACACTAACTCCAGACAATATCTTGAAGCCTTACCTGCAATACGGTGTGCTACCAGGCCTTCCAAGTTTAGCGTCTCCTCCTCTGCATCTTGTTCTCTGGGCAACGATGAAGAAGATGTGTCCTTGGGCTGTGGAGTTACAGTGGGAAGGGGTGAAGATGAGGCACTATAGCCTGGATACGGAGACGAGCCCTGCAGTTCTGGGGAGTGTGATGTGCCACTGCTTGGGTGGGAGTTCATGGGCTTCACTGGGGTCTGCTGATTGAAATTAGAATCAGTGGTGTAATGAAGGGGTGCATGGCGAGTATGGAGGTAGGGCTCAGGAGTGTGTGTTGGGGTGATATTTTGGTGTTGGTAGCCAGCATTGGGCCTCTGGGGAGAATGCACTGGAGACTCCATAACTGGGCTCTGGCTGACTCTCCCAGATGAGCGATGGGGCTGATGAATGCCATCGCCAATTGATCCAGAGCTGTTGTAGCCATGGATAGCAGAGTCTGCTTGGTATGATGGCCTGGCCAGGGTCTGGGAGAATGGCACCTGGGATGAATTGAGGCTGTTCTCACCAGGGGGCGCACTGTGGGACTTAGACATGTGAGAGTTGATTGGGTCTAGGTCAAGCATCAGCATATTTAGTGCCTCGATTGACTGCTCAATGTCACGCTGTGAAGCTGAGGTGGGAAAGTGGGGCAAGCTATGAGTTGACTGAAGAGGAGGACCAAATGGATCGTCTGGTAGGCTATGCTGATGCCAGGCACTGAGACCTCGTTGTACAGCATCCCGGCTACTGGTGCTCCTCTCAGGGGCCCTGGGCATAAGTTTTGGGGTGGTCTCAGGGCTGCTGGCAGGTGGGTTCCCAAAGGACTGTGAACGATACATCCCTCCTCCATTTTGATAATTGTTGTAACCCCCCTGTGGCGATGGTGAGTCCACGGATCTCTCTTGCATCGCTGTAGGAGTTCGTACTCCATGCACCGGCATCTCGCTTCTATCAAGGTATGGCTCGTCGTTCTGGCCACTGACAGGAGTCTGTGATTGGTAGTACAAGTCAGCTGGTGTTGCTTGGCCCTCAAGGGATGAGATGGTGCCCAAACTGTCCACACTGTTGCCCTCTTGACTATTAGGCAGCTCGTCGTCGAGAATATCTGTCTCACGCTCCTCTGTTGAAGAAGCGCCCACTAACCTGGTGTGGCTCCCGTTGACATGCACCTGTGCAGGAACTAAGTGTCGTACTCCTCCTCCTGGACAGGTAGATGTAGGCAGGTAGGCTTGCCGCTTAGTTGGTGCCTCAAGGCCACTCAGAAGTTGGTCGAGCTCTCTTTTTTCTTGCGGACTGAGTGGTGGGTGAGTTGCTGTTGGATTGTTGTGGCTCACAGCACTCTGCACAGACTGGCTTTGCTCATCTGTGCGATCAGTCTTGATCGATGCGGTAGAATTGCCTGAGTCACTGCTCACAGACAGGGTATGGTCGACAGCAGGGAGGGAAGTGTGGCCTGCCACAGGAAGGGTGTGGTCAGTAGTTTGCAGGGGATGGTTGGTGTGCTGCAATGGGTTCTCGTTAGTCAAGGGGTTTTCACGGACTGGGAGGCCATTGACTGTGACAACTCCCTCCAGGGAGTCTTTTTTCCGGATTTGGGCATAAAGACTTCCATCAAGTGGGCCCTGGGTATGAACAACATCTGAAAGAGAGAAAGAGTACACAATATAGTAAACAACATACTAAAATTATGAAACAGCTCTCAACTCTAAAGTTCATGAAATGGAATTAACACAATTAAAAAAATACTTTCATTTAAATAATTTTGTGTTCAGGAAAAAACTGTTTACGTTAAGGTTAATGGGCCCCAATCATCAAATCATTTTTTTTGTATGGGACAGGATCCCTGACACCACAAACATAGTGACCCCCCTCTGCACTCAACTCGTTTGATTCTCAGCTGCAGCATGCTGCCCAGCCACCAGCAACACAACCCCTGCAGCTCTATTAATAGCCAATTTTCAGATCTTAAAGCCCCTGTCACGTTGCGTCAGTGCAGGCCCACATGGTCTGACGTTAACATGGGTGGGTTCTGCACAACACACCGAAACAACTGGTCTGTGTCAGCCAAAGGGAAAAGGAATCATGCCAGTTTGAAACCCCAGAGTTGGACTATGAGAGGAGCTGTCGTCTTTAGGTTGATTTCTTGCTGCTGAATCATGCTTGCAAAACAAAACCAGAGTAATTGCGTACATATTGTGCAATGCTATGAATAAAAGTAGCCACCTAACGCTTTACAAGAATGTGCAAACCATGTATGGGTGGACATATTATTATCATTTATTTTGTGGTGTTTATCATTTATAGCAAATCAGACATGGTAATATTTCATCTGAACCAAACAAGTAAACTAAATTCCTTTGGTCTGGCTGTGGTTGGTCTGGTTGGGTGTTAAAACAGTTTCAACTATTCAGCTCAAACTTTACACTGTTAGCTAAAATGCATCATAATTTCTTCGTAATAAACAAACTTTAATTAACTGATAGCTAGAGCTTTACCAATACCTATATTTTGTGATTTAAAAATCAGGTGATATTTTTTCCTATCAGATATACAAAACAGATACAGATTTCCATAACACACACCAAGCAATATAATACAACAATACAGTTTAAAAATAAACCTGCTTTATTGTGTATTACTTGTCTATGCTCGGCCTGACTCTGCTCAGATCAGCTGGTTGTTGTGCTTGTAGTCTTCCAAAAATGTGTTGCCAACAGGGAAGTTGCATCCATAGGTACATCGATACTTACTGAGCGTAACACTCCGCTAAGACGATTGAATTATTAAATTGAGATTTTTAGCTAGCTATTGTTATATTCGGCTGACAATTTCGACTGTTTAGCCATACTATTTGCAAACACAAGTTTACTTTCACATTAACCGAACTAATCTTTTCAAGCACCCCCTGGCTACTACAGAGATATCACTTGGAGGTTTTCTTCCCGTTCACCTCTTACATGAACACCAAAGGATAGGTCTTATGCCATATGCTCCAATATTTTATCCATATAATAAATACACAGTCTAATTGTATTTTAAACTGTATTTTAAAAAGTTAAGATAAGCTATTTAAAAATATAGTTTTACACCAGCAACAAATCATTCTGTGGTACTACCAACATATTTACAAGAAGGAAAGTCATGCGACAGCAGTGGCTTTCAGTATCTAGTGTGCATATGCAAAGTGATACACAACATATACATATGAGCATGGCTCATATGTAGGGTGTTCCAAATTGAGCGACCCCTGGGGACAGATGGTGAATCACTCAGACCTCAGCTATTTCCAAACCCATGTCAACAACAGCTCACGGCCACAGTAGCAACAAGAATGAGAGGACAGGGGACGAAGCCATAATCACAGTTTGTCCCTGTGGTTGCTTTTAGTGTTGGCACATTATGAAAGCATAATTCCAGGTTTACAGTTACATTTTGTTTGGACTTGCGGAATTACTCCAAAGCCTTACGCATAAAGATTTAAGCCAAAATAATGAATCTTTTTGTTCTTGCCAGCAATATATACACTTTAAATATTCATGTTTCTTATATTAAGTTTCTTCAAGTTCTAAAACCCGTATTTATATTTTAAATCAAACTCATGTAAACATCCTTACCTGTAGATCAAACTTCCAATTTTTTTTTCTGTGATGATTAAGTAAAAAAATCAGGAAAGATTAAATATTTCCTTTTCAAAACAGTGATTCCGTTTCAATCTACAATTCGGAAGTCCTTCCGAAGTCTCTCAGTGACTAAACCTTCTGCCTCTGAGCTTCTTCTCTCACTCCCCCTGTCCTCTCTGATTCATGTCACCCGACATGTGCTCTTCTGGAGCGAGGTGGGGCTGTACCACTGAAACACCCGCAAGGGGTGAGTTGGCACTCTGGGATGATCACTGAGCGTTCCCGGCAGTGGGGGAGGAACTCCACCAATGTCACCACCTCTACCTCCACCCATGTGCCTGGAAAAAAAAAACTACAACTCCTGCACCATCTGTCTGCCTGGTAATGCCATTAGGGGGATCCCTTTACTGTTCATCTCACTCACTCCCCCACATCCTAAACTTTAAATCCTTAATAAGTGGGAGGTTCTATTGTTTAAAAGAATCCCATAAACTCTATTAATTATATTAGAACCATAAGACTTTTCAGAGATCGGTTGTGCATATTTTCCACCAGCTGAGCTCTCGGTCTTTTCCTCCTTCTGACCTTTAACAGAATAGAAAATGCCTTTGTTCTGGTTGATAAAACATGCTCTTTTAGACTTGACTAAGCCACGATGGCACTTTTCCAGCTGCAATTTAACCCCATAGTGATTGTAAATCATCGGAACAAACACTGCCATTTGCCATGTTATGGCTCAGATAGGACAAACTAAAAACGCACAGAGCAGCAGCATCTGGGTAACAGTGTAGTATCAGCTTCCAGTGGATCAAAAATCTAACAGACCCACAAATACCTAATTTGGTCTCGCCAACTAACAGATGTTAAATGAGCCAGTGGGATAAAATTACAAAAGTGAAACCAGTCTCTGACTCACAGGGTGATTGTTTCTGTAGTGAATTTGATCTTTTTATAGATGGTTTGGGGTATTTTTATTTTTGGTATTTTTTGTTTTTAACTTGTTTAGATGTCACATTGAAGAGAACAGAACCAAAGAATTTGAGACTTTCACTACATTTTTACACTCGTCCCAGACTCACGCTGGTATGTGCATACATTGGGAGACAAACATTAAGTGGTATGCACATCTGCTCCGGATGTAGCGTAAAGGAAGAGGGGTAGACTAGTGTTAAAAGAGCTTGACCTTCATCTGGAATACCAACGGATGAGCATGCTGCAAATAACCAGCCTGCCAGAGTTCCCTTCAGCCAGGCAATGATCATTGTTTCTGTTTCAGAATATGCAATTTCTGCTAAACCTGAGATGTTTTTGGGAATCTGTCATATAGAAAATTTACTGTTTTCACTACTGTCTTGCAAGAATGAAAGTTTTCAGACAATCTGACCTGCCATCTCCTGGCCAGTATGGGAAGGCACAGGATCCAGAGCACTCCTCACGCATTTCTCCAAGATGCAAGCAACGTCTGACAGAATAATAGGATTTCATGCATTGGCTGAAAACGTGTCACATGTTTTAGGCAGTCAGCTATCAATTTCGGGATGTCAGAGCTTCTATCATCAGAAAAGTCCAGCAATTATGTGATATTATAAGACCGTTATAGTTACTATAACATTCATATAACATCATTACTGCCTGAGAGAAGGGCATTAATACAAGAATATATGGATTTTTTTTATGTTTGCAAGATTTAGAAATATGAATAGCCAAACTTATCAGAAGCTACTTAAGTCTCAGCACTGGCCAAAGGACTAAAAATGACATGTCCTAGATTTGACTTTGCTTATGGAATAAGGACATAGTAATACATTTAATGTCCAACTATGCCAACAGTCAAAAGATATATCATGTCCCAGCCTGGTGCCTATCGTAGAACCGTCAATGTTAGGGAGCAGAGCTCCAGTGTGGTATTTAATCCAGTGACCATTATTATGAATGACACAAAGAAGCAGCTCTCCAGCTGCATAGAACAAATTGCTTTCTTATAGTGTCGATAAATAGCTGCAGTGGGCCTCAAATTAGATTGGTTGAGTCACCAAGCTTTGGCTAACACAAATAGCTTACAGCTTGCTTCTTACACCAGTTAACAAGTATAACATGCCATTCCTTCTGCTGTAAAAGGACAATGCCATGCCATCACTACTACTATTTTTAATATGTAGATGAAGCCAAATCAACTCAAAGAAATATTTGAACATATTGAAGCAAGAAAAAAAAAAAGCTTTTGACTTTGTCAGAGTCTTTCAGTCTCTCTTACTCACACACTCTGACTCAAACCTGTGCCTGTGCATGCTTTGTATTCCCTCAAGTAACAGGTGCTGTCCTTTTTCACGAAAGTGCCAGAGGCATTACTCATGCTGTGTTGCACGTGGACACGCATACATCCACACGTAGCACCTGGCTCTGAGCTGTATTCTCTTAAGTGTTCACTTGAGTGTCTCATTGCTACATCACAGCCTTGGAAACAATTAAAAAGCCATTTAAACACCTGCGTCCAATAGCTTATTATAAATAGACAACGTGCTACACAAACTGTTATTGCCGTATCCATCCAGCTGGGATGGAGATTACACACATTGTTAGTACATTCAGGATTAGCAGACAGGTTGATTGAAGTGTCCCATTTGCCAACATACCTATATCTCAATTAAAACATAGTTAGCATATCATTTGATACTGTATACTGTCAACATGTCATATGTACAATACTTCTGTTCCAACATGTATTGTTTTTTTTCTTACAAAACAAAAATAATTTAGTTATCCAGCATGTTCTCTGTAGTCATGATTCATTTAAGTAGAGTTCAAACTTGATTTGTTGGCATAGTGATAGAATATTGGTCAATTTGTTCATATTGAATGTAATTTTTATACAGATGATACAGTTTTCTATGTAAATTACTGACTATACAAAATGACACAGATTCCCAGCTGTGCCGTGGTGTTGAAGGGTTGCAACCTTAAGATAAGCTGAACACGCCTAAAGGGCAGACCGTGACCTTCTAAAATATAGGAGCCATTT